GCCAATAGCCAGCAAAGAAGAAAAGTGTGTGGGTGTGTGTTACTCAGCGCTACAACTGCCAGGAACTAAGTTGTACCGCCAACCTGAATGAACATGAAAGGGGACCCTGGGCTTCAGAGGAGCTCAGCCCTAGCCAACCCTTTGGTTGTAGGCGAGGGTTCCTCTCAGCCAGACCCAGACGCCTAACAGACTGAAATGTGAGATCACAAAAGGGCATTGTTGTAAGTCATTGAGCATTGTGGTGATTTTTGTTTGTTTTGCTTTGGCAGACATGAAAAAGGACTGCACTTAGCTTATCATCCCCCCATCCACCTGTCCCTCTGCCAGGCAACCACTAACATAGTGTGGGTAATTTATCATTCCCATATACGTTTCTCTCTTTTTGCTACATGTGTACATCCATGAGCGTTACACGACATTGTTTGTCGACGTTGCACTCAGCATAAGTCATGTTGGGCTGGAATCTGCTTCGGTTGCTCAACACCCCATTTTTGAGAACTACATCCCAGCAGAGAGACGTGGCTCTGGTTCATTGATGTTGACTGCTGAATGACATGTCTAAGAGAAGCGTGTCCAAGTCTTCCACCGAGACAGCAGATTTGACAATTTCTCCTTTTTAAGTTTCTGTATTTGGAAACTGTATCATTAGAGACATGCATGCTTGTGATGAGCATGCTATTTTAAGAGAGTAAATGTGAAGCTATCATGAACTAGTCCTCTTGTGACTTACATAATTTCCATCTTAAATCTTTCATTCACATTGATAGTGATGATCAATGCTTAGAATCACTCCTGATATCAGATGTAATGTTCCTATTTATCTTATAGTCTTATTTCTAACCCTCTCCACAATGTCTAGCCCTCTCTTTTGGAGAATTGAGGGTGCTGTCTTTATGTCATTGTTCCCTCTTCTAGCATTTTGGAAGTTTCTAAGGACCTTTCTTACCTTTCAGGTTGTAACACCCATGAGGTTAGTTCTCCTCTCGGCCTGTTTTGTCCTGCCCACATTGTCTCCCTTTCTGGGATTCTCTCCTCAAGGACAACCTCACGCCTAGTCACAGGGCTGAAAGTGGGGAAGGTGACCATGCTAAGCTTGAGATCCTCTGTAGAGTCAGTCTGAGGTCTCCCCCACGATCCTTCCAAGTGTCCACTGTCCCCTGACCCAACTGAGAGACATCCAAATGCTGTCCAAGATCCTGGCTATCCTCCCCCGAGATTCATCCCTCTTCTGACCCTAGCTACGCAAACCCACGGCCCTAGTGGTGCCCCCATCCATCACATACTGGCAAGCCTGGCCTTCTGACTGCAGTCAGAAGCAAAGGCTTCAGTACAGATGCATGTCTATCCAGCAAGCATGCATGCGTTCTCACTCTCTCTCACACACACACCCACACACACACACTGCAATGAGCATTTACCCAAGAGACTACTGCTGCTGCTGGAGAGTAAACAAAGAGAAAGCACACACCCCCCATGACTTATGGCAGCAGGGACCTCACCACCGCCACCCAGCTGTGTGATGACAAGACTTCTGACCCCGGAGCCAAGCACAGCCCTGGGGTAGTGAGAAGAGATCCTTCTTAAGCCATCCCTCTCTGTATCCAGAGAAGGAGCTCCCCCACCGTCCTCAACCCCAAGCTACCATTCTCCATAGTTCAGTTTCTTTTCTGCGGCAACCATAGGGGAGCCCTGTGGCACAGTGCAGTGGTTAAAGCATTAGGCTGCTAACCAAAAGTTTGGTGGTTCAAACCCACCAGCTGCTTCATGAGGGAAAAAACGTGGCATCTTTGCCATGCAGATCTACAAGCCTTGGGAACTGGAGGGCAGAGTTCCAAGCAGTCCTATAGAGTTGTTAAGAGTTGGAATCCCTGGGAGTGGGTTTAGTGTTGGGTTCTCGGCCGACCGCTGTGGGTCTGGAAGAAAGAGGTTCCATTCCACTATCAGGAAAACTCTAGGCTGCCCACCTTCTTGCTTCCTCCCCCTTTCCCTTTCCCAAAGCCCCTCCACCCCGCAACCAACTGCCCACATTCCTGACTCCTTCTTCACCCACCTGACGCCTTGAACGCCTACAGTGTAAGCTCTGAGGCCCAGGCTTGGAGGGGTGGGGTGGGGGGCTTCAGAACCCGAGCAATTGGTTCCTGGGCTTCATGCCCCAATGGTAGTCAGAACAATTCTCCCTCAGCCCGCTTCCTTTTCTTTTGAGGTGAGGTCATTCCTGCAGCTGCAGCACCACCAGAAGCCCCCCCTGCCACCCGCCCTACATATGAGGCTCCTGGGAGGGCACAGCTCAAACCTAAGCCACAGGCACGCGCTGGGCCCTGAAGGCCATGACAGAAGGCAGAGGGAAACTGTTCTTTTTCAGACACTTGCCAGGGCTTTTTGTATCCTCCATCACGTCACGTCACCACGGGGAGTTAAGATGCACCACCAGTAAAGGACCGCCCCCAAACGGGGTCAGTCTGAGGCTGTCGGTGGCTTTTGATGGATAGAGACTCAAAGGTTTAAGTCCTTCCAACCCTAAAAGTACCCTAAAAAGGAAGCAGAGCTTGCCTGCAGCTGCACAGCAACGTGGGCGACTCGAGAAGGGGGTCCACAGGCCAAAGCCGCACTGTGGTCCTCAGCCAGCGGTCTTCCCAGAGCACCATGGGACCTGGCAGCTCAGAGCTCCCCGACTGGGTGCCTGGAAGGCTGGGAGTTCAGGACTCTGAGGTGGATGAAGGGCTGGGGGAGGGGGCTATGGCTCCCACCCCTAAGATGAGGCAGGCTCCCCATGAATAACTACTGATTTCCTCCCTGCAGTGCAAGTGACTCCCCAACCCCCTCCCACTCCATCTGGACCCTTGTGCTTCCAGGCATCTAGAAAGTGGGGGGTGGGCCATAGGCTGGTTCCAAGGACCTGGGAGCAGGGACCTCAGAGCACACCACTTCAGTGGGGAATCCTTTCCAAGCCTGACCTGGGGAGGCAAAGACAGACTTTGGAAGCTCTCAGGGTTTGGGTGGAGGGGGCTGGGGCTGGGTGGGAGTGCACATAGCCGATTGTTATGTGCACCCCTGCTTCCCATTTCCTTCTGATAGTCTGCTCCAGCCCCCAGCCTACCCCAACCCCAGCCCCACATCTTCCTGCTCTGAGAGCACCCCTTCTCCCAGAAAGGCAGCAAAAGGATCCCTTCCCTCTCGGACCCCACAGAACTCTCCCAGAATGGACTTGTGACTGGGCCCACTGCCCCAGAGCACTGGACAGGGGGTGGGAGCAATCCCGTGGAGATACAGTCCAGTGTAGACTGGGTTGAATTTGTGTAGGGTTTTTGTTAGTTTTTTTTGGTTTGTACTATTTTCTTTTTGTCTGCTCCTTTGCCTCTGTGTGTGTGTGTGTGTGTGTGTGTGTGTGTGCAAGAGAGAGAAAGCGCTCTTTGATCAATAAGAAAGGGCAGGTCCCCCAAGGGAACATTTCTGAAAGAACAAGGAGTGATTTTCACGACAAAGAAGCTTCAGGGCAACTGCTCCCCTACACACACACACACACACACACCACCGGTTTTTATGCACAGAGGCTCTGGCTGCCACTCACTCCCACTCCAGTCTGCCCTCCTTCCTCCAGTGTCCTCCAGCCGAAGAGGGGCTTTGCTGGGGACCATCCTCCAGAGCAAATGCCCTCACATTCCCTCCCCCACCAGCCCCACTCTCCACCCCTCCGTTCTCAACCTCTCCTTCCTCAATACACTCCCAAGCACCAGACCACTGTCCTCTGAGCCCCGCTGGAGCCTCCACAGGTCCGCACTGAGGGTGGGTGGGATTCCAGCATTCTGCACCTGGCCAGGTGGGGTGTGTGTGTGTGTGTGTGTGTGTGTGTGTGTGTGTGTGTCTTGGGGGGTGGAGTGGACAGGATTTATGGTAGCCAAAGTCCCTGCATTTGCAGTTCCTAGCTGAAGCTCCTAGCCAGCAGAGGTGGCTCCCAGGACGAGGGCGGGGTCTGCCACTGGCCTGCAGGGGAACTGAGGTCTGAGAGAGGGCACTGTCAGCGTCACGTCAAGGAGAAGCAAGGACGTCTGGCCCTGGAAACCTCCCTTCCCTTCCCCCCAGGAATGGCGTGGCTAAAGAGGCAGTGACTGTTCCAACACCAGCTCCACCGACCGCTGAGACGAGGGTCCGGAAAGGCCGGGGTAATGCTGCTGCCTGAGTTCCCAGAACTGGGGGAAGGCCGGTGTCTGGGCTCCCGGATTATACCTGGAGGGGGATGGGAATAGTGGGGCGCAGCAGTAATTAATGCTCACACCCCTGGGACAGGAAGGACAGCCTGTTTACCCATTCTATAACCCCCACCCCACCCCACCACCTTACAGCCCTGATACACAGCAAAAGCAACACGTCCTGGTGCCCTCCATCGGAGTCTGGCTCACGAGACCGGCGACTCCCATGGGTTAAGGAGTCTAACGGCTCCAGAGTGACTTGGCTGCCATCTTTGCAGAGACCGCCAGGCCTTTCTTGTGCAGTGCAAACGTGTGGGCTCAAACCTTTAGCTTCGTAGCACCCGCAGAAGTTACAGACAAAAGAAAGGGGGTGGGGGAAGATCTGAAGAAAGGAAAGAAAAGTATGGGGTGGGGTGGGGTGGGAATAAACAAAGCAAATCCAGGCGCCCTAAATAAACTGGAATGGAGGAAGGGCACAGAGCCAGGCCCCACTGCCGGGCCCTGACCCACCCCGTCCCAGGAGCGCAGCAGCCCAACCAGGGAACCAGCGAAGCCCAGAGGCTCCGCGGCCAGCTGTACCTTGGGAAATGGGGTGGGTCAACCGGGCGCGCAGGCTCCCGGGAGGGGCGCCCAGGAACTTGCGCCCCATTCTGGCGTCCCCTAACCTGCGCTCTGGGGATCCCGGGCAGAGCCGGCCGGGCCGAAGTTCCCTGTCGGCGAACTGCTGAGCCTCGGAGGCGGGCGCCAGTGACCGGAGGCCCGAACCCTGACCCTTCCACAGACCTCAGGTCCCGGGGCTGAGAGGCAGGGAAGATGGATGAGAAGGAGGTCTCCGCGGTCATTGTGCTCCGGCGCGGAAGTGAGGTCCGCGCGCAGGGCACAGGGGGCGCTGGAACCTCGGCCCGGCCTCCCCCGGGGAGCTGCCGGGCGGACGCGCCACTCTCCCACTCATGGAGTGGGGCCCGGGCCGTGCGGGGCCGGGGCGCCCAGTCCGGGCGGAGCGCAGCGCGCTAGAGCGCCCGGCCGCTGGGGCGCGCCCCGGCCCGGCCTCCTTTGAGCCCTGGTTGCTCCCGCCAGGCTCACCGAGGCGCCCGGAGAGCTGGTAGCACTGGGGACCCTCCGGCGCGCCCCAATGACTCCCCCACCCCTAATCGCTTTCCACCGCGGTCCTGCGTGGGCTGTCCCCCCGGAGATGAGAAACGACACTTCCTATCTCGTGGTGCGCTGGGCGCGCACGAACCCTCCGAGGCGCGGAAGAGGGAGGCTGGCGGAAAGCCTCCTGAAGGAGGCGGCCCCGGAGCTAGACGTGAAGGGCGCCCTGGGGTGGGGCTGAGGGGGTGTTCGGGGATGGGGAGGCGGCACCCAGGCCCTTGGGAAAGTCGTGCGTCACGCAGGGGAGCCTGGGG